CCGCTTAGGGCTCAGAAAAGATAGAGGTTTGCGAAACGTCACATCAAAATTAAACCAGGAACTTTAAAGTTTGATCAAAGTAAATTTTTGAACTATTTGACGCATAACTCGAAAGCAAATTTTATATGGTAGATAGTTTAAGTATACACTCATTTGCTATTTTTTATAATTTTTAACAATTTTTAGATTTTTCGGGAAAATTATCAATTCGACTGGTATCAGTACGCTGACTTACTATTAGGCAGCTACTGATGTGCAAGATTGCATCGTTAAATCACTCAATGTTTAAACATCATCCAAAACGTAACTTTTCAAAATAGCATAGATTGCAAAGTTCTCACTTCGTAAGTAGCGTTTTGGTTCAAAATTATAGCTGCAAACTTTCTTAAAATTTTTTTTCTCATTTCTCAAATAAATATTTGATTTGTTTCGTTTCATCGCGGCTGGTTAATTCAAATTTTCCTTCTTTTGTTTTCATTCAAATATTTGTACCACATATTACTATTTTTCATTTCCTAAAACAAAACAAAGCATTGTAAAAATAATTGATTTTATTTGTTTTAATGAGTCAGCTCGGTTGAACGATCTAAAATTTCATTAGGAGAAATTCTTCTTACCTTTTTTGGTTGGATTTTTATACTTTTCGGTTGATACTCTATTCCTTTTTTTATTCCATGTCATTTCAATATATAGCGTCATTTGTTTTTCCAACATCCTTTTTTCCCCAGCTATCTGAGCAGAAGACCAGCCTTTTTGACCCATAGTAGCGTCTAATCAACGTCTTTTATGATCCTGTATTACACGCAGAGTATTTCCCCCTTTAAAGGCCCGAATTACACTCTTAAATTTTACCCACCCATCGAATAGTCTATGCCTTTTTTTTATAAAATAGTTCCATATATCTGAACCAAGCGTGAGTCAATGATTTTGACAACAATTTTTAGCCTATTGGTTTTTCATTAGATATTATTCCATTCAGCATAACTACTTACTTGGGAAATATAAAAATAATTTCAAGTATTTTCATTATGGTCAATATGATCACCGTTAATCCGTTGATCGAGACCGATTTTTTTCTGTATTCCATAAATTGAGCCATTTTAAGTTGGTTCTTCATAAGTAGCTGGAAGGCTAATTACTTTTGAAAAGATTTTATTTAATCTTTTACCATATTCTCCAGTTAATCTGATATACTTTGTGATTTTTTCTTCTCAAAATCAAAATTCTTCAACACGTGATATCGGTATTCTACCACTGGGCGTCATTTTTGGAAAAACAAGGAAAAATATAAATTCGCCGAAAGCAATTTTTGTCTCAGTCCTGTTAATTTACCGTTTTACAACTGGTACTTGAAGTTAATTACTCAAATTAATGATCAGTTAATTTTAAAATGCAGACCGGCTCTCCTGTAAATGAGCATGAAGACATGCCTGATGAGTCATCATTTCACTACAACGCGACTACTACGCGAGTGAGGCCGCGTGCATTTGTTCACGGAGTGTCAGCTATATTTGAGCCGCCTTCACTTCGACCCCCCACCATGAACGGACGACAACCCCCCAGAAATTTGAATTTGTCGAGGGGAATCGCGAATAGTAACTCGGATACCTTCACACCTGGAACAGGTAGCAGTAAATGGTATCCCGAAATTGAATTTCATGGATAATTTTTCATTATATTATGTTTTCGTTCATTCTTCACAAAAATCAAAAACAATCCTTTATAAACGATTGAAAATGGATTATGATGGGTTTTTGAAATTAATATCCCCTAAAAACCCATTTTCATGGTTAGACGGGTCATAAAAATCGATTATATGGGTTAAGTTTTTTGCCGAAATCATCCATTATAACCGATTATTTTCCATGAAACTCTAGTGCGGGATTTTCATAAGCCCCTCCCCCCTCCCGCCAAGTGACAAAAAACTCTTTCTGTCAATTAATTTTCGGAGAAAAAAATTCATGACAGTTTGAAACTTTATATTGGGTCTGATTTAGTTAAGATGTATTAATTTTAACGTTACAAAAAATAAGTTCCGAGCTTTAAAGTTTAAGCCCTAGACTTTTTCTCCCACAAAAAAAAAAGAGATAAACCCGGAAAAGTCAAGGACGATTGAGCGAGCCAATTAGGCTACAAATAACTTAGCATACACCTCTTTTTTAACTACGTGTCGCCTAGCATCTTCTTTTAGAGTTAGCTTGAATAGTAGCATCTATAGAATTTAAAGCAGCAAAGACTAAAATAAAAATATCACCTCTGCATTTCCGACTATGTTTCGCCTTGCTGATGCTTATTTGGGGAATGCTTTGCAAACCAAGCGTAAAATGTCTAAACATATTTGACGGATTGGATGTAAAATGTTTCACGAAATTAGAAGTCACTGCAAATACCTAAAAGCTTCATGATAAGTGTTTTGTTAAATGGAGTTCAACACTATTTCAGATCGAGGAGCATTTTGTACATTTTTGCTAACTTAACTGAAAACCAAATAAATCCATTAGTAGGCAAATAGCACATTTTTTTTCGACCACAGAAGTAAATTTAAAAAATTTTCATGAAGCAAAGTTGCACTTGAACTTGGCTTACTCAAGCAAATAAGAACCAAAAAAAATAGTTATAAATGTCTCAAAAAAGTTCGAAAAAATTAAACATTGGAAATGAAAAAAAAATTCAAAATACAACTACAATTTATTGCTTGATTAAGTTTAGCAGTTGTAAATTTCATATAAGCATTTGTAAGTCACAAAAACTTCAAAACATTTTAAACCTTGGAAATGAAAAATATTTAGACTACATAACTACAATTTATTGCTTGATTAAGTTTAGCAGTTGTAAACTTCAATTAGGACTGATTATACTCTAAGATCGCTAAAAGTTCAATTATCATACGAATTAGGAAAATGTTCAATGCCTCAATCCGATATCACATTGATTTTAATGAAACATTATTTAATGCCTCAACCACAGAAATTAGTGAAGTAAATCACAGCTTTTTGGACAATTCCGTAATGGTAAATAACGATTTGGCAAATCTTGCATTCAACTGAGGTGACGAATCTCATATTCATGTTTTAGTGGTGGTGTTTTTGAAAAGAAAACTCTAAAAAATTCGTTTCCTTCGTTTGTTTCAACTTCAGAAATTATTCTGTTTATCAACCGTGTAGCTTACCTTTTTTAAATTTTGTTTATACATATATATATATATATATATATATATATATATATATATATATATATATATATATATATATATATATATCTATAGATTGGTCTAAATTTTCTTCCACCATTTCAGCATTGGATAAATTGAAAATTTTTCCGCCCAGAGACGTTAGAAAACGAACCATTTGGTATAAACGCGTTCTCTCAGGCTTCACAAGATGATGTAGCTATCAGCAATATCTCGTACTAATCTACAATTTTGTGAGCCTGTAAAAAATTTATTATGATTATTTTTATGACAAATATGATGGTTTCTTATGATACAATATCTACAATATCTGACACCTAAAGCTTTTTCAAGGTTTTTGAACTTATGCGGTCCCTAGCTGTTCGGCCATTTGCGACCCATTACTGTCATACCAAAAATTGCATGATAAAATCCTTTTGATATGAATAAGAGTAAAAAGAGCACAAGTTTGAGATTCAAGAATACTCTGGGCATCTGGCCCAACCAAATGGTCAAGTAAAAAAAGATGTTCGAACAATTGGCTGCGGAGTAAAAAAAAGTTCAACAATTATCTCAATTTCCCTGTTTCAAAAATCTTCAGGAACCGTGATTTAAGGGGACTGAAAACTAAATTAAAATGAATCAAATTAAGTATAAAAACTGCTCGTGCTCAATTCTAAACAAAAACAGAAACGAACTGCAAAAAAAATCCTGATGTCACGTAACTCTGCTTTTTTACCTCTTTTTGTCCTTCACATTTGTGGAATCCAAAACAGCATAGAAAATCAAAGAAAAGTAGCAATGCTGCGGATTCCGCAACAAATATGATTTTGGCCTGTTGCGGATTCCGCTTACAATACAGAGAATGCGCAGTTTGGCCTCGTAATGATTCATTGCATGTGAAATATACCCAAGTAAAAGGAACTCCTTGCTCAGTGAGATTGATTAGAACAAAAATTAATAATTTTACCAGGACGTATGTTTTCATCGATTTTTTTATATATAAAATATATATAAATACTAAAAGAAAAAAGTTTGTTTGTAATTGTCTCTGATTGCATTCTTCCTAAAAATTTAAAAGAAAAAGGTTTGTTTGTAATTTTCTGTGACCGAACTGCTCCTAAGAAACTAATCGCTCAGCTATGAAATTTTATGTGCAAGTATGCGCAAACATATACGATCAGTGCTAGGGCTTATTTAATTTTTGAAAGTTGTCGTTTTATTTAAAATGGCAGCAAAGGTGTGGAATTTTGAGTTACGTGACTTCTACGCTTCTTTTGTTGTTCATTTCCATTAGATATTTAGAATTAATCCCGTGAATTTTTGAAAAAATTGATTCAGCTGCATTTTCATTTAGGGCGCCTGATATTTCACAAGGTTATACTGAAAATTTGAAAATGGGATAATTGTTGATTTATTAGAACTTTTTTTATTATGGCTGTTTTATTGGACCATCTGTTAGTTATATAACCGGTCATGTACTCTTCATTTCGTTAATTAAGGGACTGTTAAACATCATTTCTCAAGAGCTTTTTCTTAGCGTTTTTTGAGTAATGAAAAATTAAGAGTGTTTAACAGTAAATACATTTTTATTTTTCGTATTTTGGATCAGTGAACTTAAACATGAAACTAAAATAAACTTGATTATCATTTTTTTGTGATTAGGTACTGGGTCACAAAAACCTAACAGCAAGTGATTTCATAAAATCAATAATTTAACTTATTTTATTATCCGAACAGGACTGCTATTACTATATCAAGTTAGATAAGCAAGTGAAATACTAATTGACCTGGCCCCATCAAACATTCCTAGATAGTTATGTCCCGAAAATTTCCAAATGAAGCTAGAGGTTTGCTTACTGAAAGCGGAAAATTAAAGCCGTTTGCGATCAACCGTCAGCATTCGACGAACAAAATTAATATAAACTGAGAATTCGGTTTCAAAAATTTTTTGTTAAAATTAGCAGAAGAACTTTTAAAAAAATGTTATTTCAAAAATTTTATTCGAAAAAGAGGTTTGTTGTCAAACAGTAACAGTGTTTCTGCTTTTCAGTTCCTTTCAACTCAACCTTGAAGTCCAGATTCAACACTGGCTGGCCGAATCCGAGAACGGCATCCACTTATCCCACTCATCCAGAAGAAAACACTATGGAACTGTTGAAGCAGCTGAATGTGAATTTGGAACAGACCAATCGGGCTATTCTAGAAATGAAAGAGAGTTTTGTGGAACAGTCGAGAAAAGCTGCATATTTGGGCGACCAGAATCATCAAGAGTTGATGAGAAAGAATGAAAAGGTTTGTTTATTTTGAGGCCATGAGTTTTAAAATGGAAAAAAAGTGACGTATTTCCACTAGAACATCTTTATAATAGTTTTTGCTACAGTAACTGCGTGTAAGAAATTTTATGGTCTCATATCTTTTTTTCATATTTTTGTTGACTTAAGCCAAATTTACTTTCTTTTCCACTCTTCGATAATCGATAAGACTCGCAAAAACGTGTAAAGCTTTTGATATAACTTTGAGCCATAATTTTGATATAACTTTGATATAACTATGACCTCTAAAAATGATTCCTAATTACACATTTTTCTAATTTTCTACTACCATTTCTCTATTAACGAAAATACAAACGGCGCAAAGAAAATTTGATTGACTTCAGGGGCGGATCTAGGAATTTCTTGAGGGGGGGGGGATTCGAAATTTTGTCAACCTTTTTTTTAGGTCGACAAAAAATTTTGAAAAAAAAGCGTTTTTCGGCACTTTTTGGAAAATTTTTACCAAAAAATTGTTTTTTTTTGGCGCGAGCTCCTCCCTTAAAATAAGTGTATTGGCGCCAAAGGCGCCTTTAGAAAAGTTTTAACGTCCGTATGCCAAAATTGGATATCTGAAAATAGTTCAAAGGGGGGACCGTTTGGGTCGGCAGGGGGTCGAATCCCTGAGAAGGGGGTGTCCACCCCCCCCCCCACCCTAAATCCGCCCCTGTCCTCAGGGATTCGACTAAAAACGACGAAAATGCAAATGGCGCAAAAAATCGTGATTGACTACTGATTTCAATCTTATGAATTAAATTTTTTTTTGGATTTCCCTGCGGAAAAGAATGCCTTTTGATTCATCTTTCTCAAATTGTATTTTTTTATTGTTTTCGAAAAAAAGTCAATCAAAAATTTTTTTTAAATTCAACAGCTTAGACAAGTGTTTTTAAAAATTCAATTCAATCAATTTTTTCGGTGCCCATTAGTTCATTGGCACCTTAACAACTGTCGGTTTGCTGAGTTCATTTACAATATAGGTCAGTTTTGATGCATTAGAATCAGTTGTTATCCCAGGAAATCTGTCAGTATCCCGCAATGGAGTTCCCTGAAAAGAATTTTTTTTATTAAATTTGAGTTTTGATGCATTTAAAACCATTTCAAATCAATTAAATTTGATTTTTTTCACTGTTTTAGTTGAAGACATGGAAACTCATTTATAGATTTTTTTTTCAATATAATGTGATGCGAATTTTAATTTTGGCTCCTTTTTGTTGAACTTTTGGCTTTTTTCTAAAGAAAAAAGGTTAAGGAGGAGGATATTTTTGTATTTATGTATGTTTTCGTATTAGTAAAAAAAAGATTAAGTTTGAAATGGATTGAGTGCCACAAAAAAAAATTTTGGCCGAAATCTTTTCAATTTAGCGCCTTTGACGGGGGATGGGGGTAAGGGAAAAAGGAAAAACTGGGAATAATAAGGAGGCAAGGGGGGCAAACCTTGATGAGGGTGGTTAGGAATGGAATCATTTTGCAGCTTGAGAAAGTTTAGGTTTAGAAAACCAGTAGGCCTTATACTCTTGTTTTGCAAACGTTTTGCTTTATTCAATTGATAAATGCAGAAGTTCTTGCAAAATTTAGCTCGAAGCGAAAGAAAAACAAAATGGAAAAAAAATCCTTTTTAATTTATTTTAATTAAAATATAATTTTAAATTTGATAAAACCATGCATTTTTCTCATCTTTTCTTCTTCTCTTTTGTTGTTTGGAGGCAACATGGGAATCCATTATTATGCTAATGTTTCAGCCCACAAAAATTCATTATAATTGATTTCTTTTCAATTAAGTTAATTGTGGTAATCAGTTAAAGTTCAGTTTATGAGCTACTGAAAAACATCCGAAGACCAAACCTGCACTTTTTTTGAACAGAAGCGAGGCAATTTTTTTCCAACCGAAAATGCGCATTGTTTTTTTTATAGTTTTCCATTTCGTTGTTTTAAATTAGCTATATCCTTTTAATGAAAGCGTGCGTGCTATCATTGTTTCTTGTATCTATAGTACTAAAAAACAGCAAGGCTAAATGATGCTAAAAAGTTCTGCAGTTGGAATTCTGTAATTGCCGACAAGGTTCATTTATTACGCCTGTGGTATTGATTTTTAACTGTTAAAAACTTCCAAACAGACTTTCGGAATCGTTAAGATTCCGCAAGAGGGCTTAAAAACTAACAAGGAGCTCAGATCTTTTTTGCAAACTCAACTTTTTCGCATCTGATGGTATTTTGGAGCTCTTTTTTGACGTTTTTTGGCTATTATTTTTGGTAAAGAGCAACTTAGTTTGTGTACCATTTTTACGTGAAATTTGACTTCTTCAGGTGGCGGTGTCTCTACGTGTGCAGTTCCTCTCGATTTATGATGTCAACTGCTCACGCGGGGAGTTCTCTGCTGAAATTCTACTGCAAGCCAAGTGGCACGATCCATCCCTTGACGAACTCTCCGAAGATGTTAGTACTTAATTGGATTCTTGTCACTATCACGAATAGTTCGGATGCCAAAATCCTCTGTTGTTGGTTTCAATGTTCTTAAACTCGGACTTTCATTGACGTGTAGTTGCTCACTATATTGGCCTTGGGAGATCAAAATATTATAAATCAAGGAAAAAATATAATCGATCTTTTTTCAACGTCGACCAAAGTGAAAATTCCAAAAAATGTTAACACCTAAATAACCGTGTTTTGCGGAAAATTTCAGCTTGGAAGGCCGTGTTTAAGTGATTTGCCCAAAGTTTCATAATCAGGTGTGCTCTTACCCTCAAAACATGTATACATTAACATTACCGAATTTTGTAAAACAATGATGAATATAATTAAATACTGGGAAAATGACAAAAATGTTTTTTTTTTACTAGGAGACAGAGTTCGTCGACTGGGACACTTTATGGATGCCTCAAATCATAATCAAAAACGAGTGCCACTCAACCGGTGACTACTTCCATAACCACCATTATAACAACAACACCTCAACCGCCAACAACCATCCTCTGTGCCAATCTGGGAGTAGAGACTCCCAGACAGTGAGGGCCATAACGACAGGGAAGAATGGCCTGAATATGGTGTCCATGAGACAGAAAATTAAGTCCTCTTTCTACTTCGAGCCCAAAATGGGACTGTACCCCTTTGATTGCCAGGTGAGTTGTTTTTTTTTCTAAACTTTTTTCAAAAAATTTTAATTGAAAGATACATCATACTTTAAGTATATATGAAAGTTCAGTTTATGAGCTACTGAAAAACATCCGAAGACCAAACCTGCACTTTTTTTGAACAGAAGCGAGGCAATTTTTTTCCAACCGAAAATGCGCATTGTTTTTTTTATAGTTTTCCATTTCGTTGTTTTAAATTAGCTATATCCTTTTAATGAAAGCGTGCGTGCTATCATTGTTGGCCTGAATATGGTGTCCATGAGACAGAAAATTAAGTCCTCTTTCTACTTCGAGCCCAAAATGGGACTGTACCCCTTTGATTGCCAGGTGAGTTGTTTTTTTTTCTAAACTTTTTTCAAAAAATTTTAATTGAAAGATACATCATACTTTAAGTATATATGAAATTCTGTTAGCAAGTAATAAAAAAATTTCTGGAACAAAATTATGATGTTTACTGGGAGCAAAATTAGAAGTTTTTTTGTCATAATCATTCAGGAAAATGCCATTTTGAAAAATATGGCAAAAAATGGTCTTTTTTACTATAGAGTTCTCTTTTAGCTTACTTGATAGACCCTTTGGTTACAAAAAGGAAGGGCCACATCCTTGATTTATGCAATTTGTTAACTTAAGGACATTATCTCCTCTCAATATATTCCTGCTTACACCCATACCGGATATTTGCACCCCAAAACATACAACCGCCTGAACCCGCTCAGGAAGCAAAATATTGACTTTTTTAGACATTGGGACTCTAACTGACCAGCCTGAAGGCGCAAAAATATATACACACATTTAGGGCATTCTTATCAGAAATTAATACCCATAGATGTATCAAGAGCATTTACAGCTTAATCTGAGAAGGAGAATAACTTATCATTTTGCTTCAAAATGTGATATTTAAAACCCCTGTAAATAAACGTCCGGTTGGGTTCCTAGCAACAGAAAAATAAAAATATGCAAATGCTTCAAAAAAATTTACAGAGAGCTTTTTAGACGACCAAATCAATCCGAAAAACAATAACTTTTTATTTTTGAGAATATATATTTTCCGTGATCCATTTAGGATTTTAATAGCGCCACTCAAGCAAAATTGAGAGAAGGGCTATTGAAATTAAAGAACATGAGCAAAATAAGCCGATGCAATCTTCGTAAATAATTATTATTTTGGCGAAGTAAATAAACTCTATGAAAATAACAATATTTTGTCCGTTGGGAAAGGGTGTTTCATCTAAAATTTTGGGTAGTTTCTTGTCTTCAATTGCAAATTACCCTGAAACGAAAACATCGGCAGGTCCCAAACTTTTTCACCTCCCTGTTAAACAAGAAATCATTAGGAGATTAACTCAGTCTTAACGAAGCAAACACGAAGCAAGGAAGCTAATACAAGCTTTGCTAATTAATCATAAGACCAGCAAACATAAATAACTAAAAATACTTTTACCTCTAATATTTTCTTCCATAAAGTTTGAATTCACCCATAAAAACGCGTTATTAAGTCAGTCATCACCAATTAAAAAGACTTATTACACTTTTTTGGCCCAAAACATCTTAATTTTTATATTTGAACAAGTTATTGTGGCAAGCCCTGAATTTCGATGAAAAACGGATAAATCTTTTCTCATCTATAAATACCTGGTTGACACAGGCTCAACCAAAACGTTTTCTTAAGTCGCAATTGAAGCAGAATCACTTTGTAATCACAGGAAATCATAACATAACAATCATAACAAAGACAGCCGTCTGTTGTGCAAGTATCGCAGAATGTTCCGAGCATATTCTAAGAAAAATGACATTTATTTTTTTCCAAATAAGTGTTGTTTCTTTTGTGCTTGGTGTGATAAAAGGACCAGAAAAAGCTTTGAGCTTAGGCTTGTTCAACCGTTTAGTAAAATGACACAAAATGAACCAGATTCTCTTGTCAACAGAATGACAGTAAAAACAAAAAAATTGCGGATGTTTCAAATTCTTGCAAATTTGTGATCTCAAAATGACGCTAAGAACTTCGATAACTAACTTTACTGGAGTGAAAATAGGTTTAAAACGGTTAAATGAAAGTCCTTTGCTCGCTATTAATCCCAAAACGCAAAATTGCTATCAGTACAAACTGGCATGCCAAAAAGAATCTGAACTGAATCTATTTTGTCCTAATCATCTCCTAAGGCGCAGTTTTGTGGAAGACCAACAAATCAGACTTTAAGATGATTGAAACACTCCGGTAAAAGCTTCAAGGTGGGTCCTAGGCACTAACAGGGATTATAAACAGAAGTTAAGAAGACACTCACTTTTGCTACTATCCGTATACTATGAGATTCATTTTTGTTTGATGTTTGACAACATATTCAACAGCAGACGCACTATCAAGTGGAAATCTTTCGTTCAAATCCAATGAAAATTGTTCAAATCTAAAGCAAGAAGTAAACAAAAACTATTTTGTCAACAAGTATAGTCTCGAAGACATTTGCTGATGGAGACTGACATGAACCAGTCAAAACTGCAAAAATCAACATAAACTTAACTGAGGATTGGAAAAGTGGGAACTCCGTAACAACATCTCCCTTGGGTGGTACCCTAACTTTTGTTTTTAAATTATTCACATTAATATGGTTTGAGCTGAAACTCTTGAATTTTTTTTTCTGATTTTAGTCTTTTTTGTAATTTATAATTCTACCAACCCTGATTTGGTTTAATTTTTTAGTACTTTCTAATCATGCTTTTTTAGAAAGTAGGCCTGCAAATTTTTTCATTTTTTTCCCGAAAAATAACGTTGATTTTACAAACGTTTCCATAATTACCAAAAAATCGTCAAAAATAGGCCAAAAACAGAAGGAAAAAATCAATAAAAATAAAAGTTACCCTCCTACAGGAGCGGATTTAGAACTGTCTCGAGGGGAAGGGGCGAATTTTCAAATTTTTTTTTGCAATTTCATTGATTATTTTTAGTTCGATTAAAATTATTTTCCGATCTCTCACAAATCATTTATAAAGAACCTAATTTTTAACCTATTCTGACCAATTTTTCAGCGCTGCAAGAAAAGTTTTGAAAAAAAGTTTTTTTTGACGCGCTCTTCCCACTCAAACTTGGTATATATTGGCGCCAAAGGCGCCTTCAAAAATTTTCGGGTCTGTCAGCCAAAAACTGAGATCTTAAAATTGTACTAATAGGGGACCCCCTTTGGGTCGGTAGGGGATCAAATCTATGAGGAGAAGGGGGCGTCCCCCCAAATCCGCTGGTGCCCTCTTAGATGATGCTCATCTGAAATTCTTTTTTCAGTCGCTTCCAATTGAGGTTAGCAGTTCACGCGAAATAGACGAAATTGAATTAGACGAAGATGAATACGAGTGCTGCTCAATCAATATCTCCAGTAGCACAAGTCGCAATCACAACCATCAAAGTAGTGACTTCTCAATCCAGACGCTGGTCTCAACATCACGCGAGATCTCCCTGGATTGTCTGGATGAGTCCAGTCATCATGTGTTCACGTGCACGGCCTATGCATGTCGTACCTGGATATCGCACATGCTTTTTACACTCTTGCCAATCGTTAGCATCTTTTTCCAGCTTTTTTTGCTTTTTTATCGAGCCAAGGGTACAATGGGTTTTAAAGAATAGGGGGTGTTTTTTGAGGATTTTTTCCGGAAACTTTCAGAAAACTTTTCAGACTTCTTGGAAAATATGGGTTAAGAAGGGATTGTATTATCGATTCATTTTTTTCAGATCCATTTGATCATCTTTAAGATCAGCTTGTCATTTTTGAGAGGTTAAGTTTTTCGCGATGCCGGATTTCTGTTATATCTGTTTCTTAACTTGAAAAAAATACCACACTTCGAAGCATCCCTGATAATTGTAAGCTATATGTTTATATTTCAATTGAGTTATCTGACAAAAAAGTTTATGTTGTGTCAAACACTCAGCGCTTTTTGTAACAAAACCTTGTATTTTTCTCCCTTCTGTATTATAGTTTCTTCTTGCCTTCGCTGTCGTCCTTATAGGCGGCATTTTACCCCATAGCCAGTCTTCTTCTGCACCCCAAGAAATATCAGATGACTCATCATCATCATCGTCATCATCATCACCTGTCTCTTCCTACAATCATGAGATATCTTCCGAATTGACAAGAGTGGCTAATCCGATTATTCTACTGATCGTTTCGTGCTTCTTTGTACTTCTGTCAATTAAGACAGGGTCTTTTGAAGCAACACGAAATACTGGATCCAACACTTTGTTGGTTAGTTCTATTGAAAATCAACTTGCGGCTCTTTTTCTCCCCCACCTCGCAAATGCAATCAATATCATGGTATAACGAGGGATTTTACAAGGTTAAATTTGAACACCAAATTTTTTTTCTTGGCCGAATTAGTCCGCATGCCAGTTTTTCTAACAATCCAACAATGTAAACAATAATAATAGCAAATTGTAACCCCTATAGGTTCACAAAGATTTATATAAATTATAGCCGATCACTTGAAGAAACCAGTCTTGGAGATCGTCGTTAGGCAAATTATGCCTGTTTTTAGATGTCTCTATGTTAACTTTAAAATCACCAATAAAAATTTGCGAGTAGGGGGTTAGTAGGGAAGGAAAATTAGCCCAACTTGCGATTGAATTGAGTGAGATTTAAATGAGAACATAATTTCAAGTTCTGCCTCTTCTAAATTAATACTTACACACAGTCATAAATACAATGTCTTTATCTGGTGAAGGCTAAACGGTAGATTTGATACGCTTAAAGCGTTTCTTAACTTTAAGCAAAACGAGGCAACCTCTCCCAACCAAGGAAAATTAACCAAAAATGTTACATGAAATGTCCCAATGAAGAGAGGAATAGCGAGTCTCCACTTTTAGATGAGCAGTCTCATGCTTTCACTGTGTTAAACTATTTTTTCCCATTAAGACACCCTTGTTAAAGTAAAACGGTATCAACAGCACAATCCCTGCTAAAGTACTGGTTTTTCATATATCAACTTTGAGGGCAAACTAAATTAATCTATTTAGTCAAAAAAATATTTCAAAATAATTATGAATAATAATTTGGTTATCTAGTTAGTCAAAAAAATTTTTTTTCAAAAATAACTATGAATAATAAATTGTTTAACTTGGGGGAGATTCTACGGTGCCAAATATTGGTGCCAATTTTGGGGCATCTTTACAGCTTTCTGATAGCATGTGCTTTGCCTCAGTTGTTAACTTATTACTTTTCGAATGTCAAAGCACATGCTATCAGAAAGCTGTAAAGATGCCCGAAAATTGGCACCAATATTTGGCACCGTAGAATCTCCCCCAAGTTAAACAATTTATTATTCATAGTTATTTTTGAAAAAATAGTTATTTTTTTTTGACTAACTAGATAACCAAATTATTATTCATAATTATTTTGAAATAATTTTTTGACTAACTAGATTAATATAGTTTACCCTCAAAGTTGATATATGAAAAACCAGTATTTTAGCAGGGATTGTGTTATTGATACCGTTTTACTTTAACAAGGGTGTCTTAATCGGGAAAAAATAGTTTAACACAGTGAAAGCATGAGACTGCTCATCTAAAAGTGGAGACTATTATGAAAGGGGGGAGATTGTTTAGTAGATCAAAATTGTCAATTTATCTACCGGTCAGAATGCAGCATAATTCGAATTCTCAATAAAAGCTCTGGTGCTAATTTACTGTATTTATTTGTAGGGGTGGAGATTCTTTAGTAGATACTATGCGGGGAGATTGTTAAATAGATCTAAGTTTGCATATTCAAAGGAGTAAAAGTTTCTCTTCTACAGACCCTCTGCTCCTCCCCGTTTTGTTGAAATACAATTTTGAGAAGGTTTTCAAAAATAATTTTTCTGATATAATTCGGACTGAAACATTTCATAGTGTCAACAATTGGTGAATGACAAGGAGACGGGTCTGATCCGGACGATGAACTTAAAAGACAATTCTGAGAGACAGTAAAGCAAGAAAAGCAGGAGCAAGGCGCCCAATTGGAAGGAAATTATTTCCAGTTGATTTGATGAATTAAAAATGCATCAGTTGTTAACTTATTACTTTTCGAATGTCATTTTTAATTCATCAAATCAACTGGAAATAATTTCCTTCCAATTGGGCGCCTTGCTCCTGCTTTTCTTGCTTTACTGTCTCTCAGAATTGTCTTTTAAGTTCATCGTCCGGATCAGACCCGTCTCCTTGTCATTCACCAATTGTTGACACTATGAAATGTTTCAGTCCGAATTATATCAGAAAAATTATTTTTGAAAACCTTCTCAAAATTGTATTTCAACAAAACGGGGAGGAGCAGAGGGTCTGTAGAAGAGAAACTTTTACTCCTTTGAATATGCAAACTTGGATCTATTTAACAATCTCCCCGCATAGTATCTACTAAAGAATCTCCACCCCTACAAATAAATACAGTAAATTAGCACCAGAGCTTTTATTGAGAATTCGAATTATGCTGCATTCTGACCGGTAGAAAAATTGACAATTTTGATCTACTAAACAATCTCCCCCCTTTCATAATAGGGGGGGGGGGGTTGTTAAGTAGATCCGTAACCTTCTTTATAGGGATATCTTCAACTAGTCTCCCCTCTGTATAGGAATAAAAAAAAAGGATTTTTCCTTCCTAGATACTAAATTTGCTCACGCTCATCATTACAGGTGTGGATATTTTTCACGAGCTGCCTTAAGTTTATTAATTAAAGATATCTCCTTTTTAGGGCGTGTACATTGTGTCTCACTGCATATTCGTCCTCCTGCTAGCCATCAAATACATCTCCGAGATGGGCGGAGTGTCTACTAATGGCCGACAACAACAGCAGCTCCTTTTCTTCCCGCCTCTTGAAGTGCAACTGGGAGGGGGGAGAGTTCTGGGATTGGGACAAATTGCAGCACTCATTCTGTTTCTGGCAATCAATTTCGTCTTCTATATCTCAGTCGTTATACTGGTAGCTAATTTTTTCTTTCAGAATTGTTGAGTTTGTTCTGCCATGGATAAAATGTTTTCTTATGTTTTTTTAGGTTGACCAAATTGACTTTCCGAGCTCTCCCAAAGCACTAAAAAGAACTTGTTTTGGCAAAATTTTGAAATAACAGGTCAAAAAAGGCGTTTTTAGGCACTTTTTGGAAAATTTTGACCAAAAACTTGCGTTTTTTCGACTCGCGCTCTCCCCTCAAAATTAGTATATATTGGCGCAAAAAGCGCCCTTAGTATAAATTTAGGGTCCGTCACCAAAACAAATGTCTCAAAATAGTACAAAATGGGGAACCTTTGGGTCGGTAGGGGGTCAAATCCCTGAGGGAAAGGGCGTCCCCCCTAAATCCGCCCATAAAAAATGGAAAAATTGGAAAACTTTTTTGTTTTTATTCCTTGTCGTTTTTCGACTGAAACCTTTGTCCAATTTGCCTACATTACTGTGACTATGGAATATGCCTTATTTCTAGGCTTCCGTCAGATTCTGTTATCACAAGACGTACAAAAAAACAATACAAATTTTTCCAAAAAAAAACAATGGAAAAGTTTTATTTATGTTTTTTAAGGGTATTGTTGGAACATTCTGCATTCTGTGCAAATTGTACAGCAACCCAACCGACTTTACTTGTTTTAATTTGTGTTCACTTTTGACCATGATCTTTCTGTAATTTGTTTTATTCAGCTCATCTGGAGGTGTATTGGGATGAAGCGGAAAGCTCGTCGTCTGATGAAGCGACAGACGGACTACCGGAGACTGAGGAGTGCACGTGAACACAGCGTGCAGTCTTTCTCCAACATCTCACGCAACAAACTCCACTCCAAAAACAGGCACCGCACCACAGCTGCTCAGGTTCACTTACCCCCGTTTATTAGTCTTGAATCTATATCAGAAGTGAATTTGGGGGGGGGGGGTTTGGACGCCCTATTCTTAAGAATTAGATACGTTTACTACGAATTTTCCCTCTGTGGCACACTATTTTTACACGAAATCCAGTTCGGCTGATTTTTTTAACAGCGCCGCTTTGCACAAATCCTTTTTTTTTTTCATAGTAAAATTGAACCTTTCTTAAGCAATTGCATTTTTTGCTTCAAATTTTTATGATCTTTCTTCAAAATATTAAACAAAAATATATATGCGAGGAACTGAAATGAAAATGAGTCATCTACTTTTCAGGTACGGCCACGCCCCTTCTCAGCGGCAGTAGTGACCAGTGAACATGCGGGGGCGATGCCTCGATCCAAATGGCGTCTAGAGCAGAGTAACAACCCCAGTGAGAACAACAGTAGCAGTGGTGACCTTTTCGACCACGCCCCCTCTCCCGATTCGCACATGCCAAGATCCATCTCGTTCCCAACAAGTGTCATTCACGGGTGGGTAACTTGACCCCTATTTGTGACCTCAAATCTTGATCTAAAATAAGGTTAAGTTAAGATTTTGTGTCCAAGCTGAAATTAAATCATCGTGAAAAATAGTTAAGGATATTTATCTAATAAGAAAAGGGTATGTATCTACTAAGGAAAGAGTTGTTCAGCTCTTTACAGATAACTGTCGTTGCTCTTCAAAATTTCTGTTCTGTTTTTCTTTCAAAATTAACATAAGTATATTGATCAATTCTTGCGAGATAGGTTTTTTTTTAAAATAAGAAAATAGTATTAATATTGAGTTATATATCTATTTAAGGACTCAATTTTAAGCAAGTTAGTTACAACAATCAAGAGCAAGGGTTTATCATCACTTATTAGCTCCGTTTTTCACCGTAAATAATTTTAATAATTTGTTAGTGGGTATGAAAAATTAGAAACCATATGTTCATATTATGTATTTATGTTTCAAACCCATTTGCCTTAAATTTGTTTTTTTTAGATTCAAAGAGATACCCGTGTGATTACAGCAGTCAATAAAGAAACAGAACAATATTTAATAACTTTTATTAACGAACTTATTTGTTACATTTTAACACACGTTAAATTTTTACATTTTACATTTATTACTTGAAAGTCAACGAGTTGATAACTTGAAATCTTTCACAAAAAGTATTCGAGCATCAGGACTTCAAGGGCGCATCTAAAGGGTTTGCTAACCTAGGATTTGCTCGGGAATTAGAATTCTAATAATTAATACCTAATAGTATAAGAACTAAAATTAGGGGGAGTTTGCAAAAAAACTAATTGTTTGAAGAAAACACAGATTAGGGTTGTTTTTAAACTTTTTAAACTCAAATACAAAGCAAATTGCATAACGCAACTATCTAACATCTAGTTCACGCAAATAACCGCCCAATATCAAGTGATTTACCAATTTAAGCTCTTTTGGGGGCAATTCAAGCTTTTAAAAAGTTTTCACGGTGTCTAGAAACGAGTTCCATTTCACTAAAAGTCATTCCATTGGATATTTTTTCAAAACAGTTTGGCGTTTTTTCTTCTTCCCGATTTTGACTCTTTCATAGATTTCTGGTAGGGGGTCAACTGGTATGATTAAAAAAGTACTTCTCTAAGTCAAACTAAATTTTGAATGAGTTTAGGCTACACTTACCTCTTATTCTGCTGTTTTCCAGTTTCTTTCGAGTTATTCGCTCTTTATAAAGAAAGGTAAAAACAAAAGATTTTTTTTTGCATTTTCCCCTTGTGTCTGAATTTCTGTTTTAAAATTTTTTGTTAAAACCCTCTGTTCTACTTGCTAAGCAACCCGCACTGAGCTGAGCGCCCATGGAGTTTTTATTAATCTGGATTTCCGAAACAAAATAATCCATTAGAAACCATAACAGATGTGAAATTCAGACTTCCAAATCGATAATACTGTCATTATAATCAATTAATTAAAAACAATTCCATTATAATCAATTTTAAACATTTCTAGCTTTTTTTTGGCACTGAAACGGATTTTTTTCTCCAAATAATTCTTAATAATCCAATATTTTTTGTTTTTTTTTTCTCAAAATATTACTGCAGCTCAGAAATTTTGGCCGAAAAAGGGTCTTTATAGTGATTTGGGAGGGCTCGGAAAATAAATTTTGCCAATTTAAAAAATGATCGGCAAATTTTTCAGTTTTTGTGAACCCACCCCCCTGGCTATTTTTTAAATTTGGTTGGGATTATAATCAAATCGCAGGATACAATCAAATCGCAGGATACAATCAAATCGCAGGAGACAAAGGATGCTTCAGTATTTACTTCTACTTTCAACGTAATTGTATTGTTCGTCTAAATCACACAAATCTTCAAAATACTCTAATTTAATGTGTAGAGAAGAAAATTCTGTTTTTTTAATTCGTTTACTAACTTTTACTAGGGTCGGAACCTTCTGTTCTTTTTTCACCGCGAATGGTTAATTTTACTCATATTTGAAAACAACTCGCGAATTTTTAATCCGGTTTCAAATGATTTCACCACTGAGCCAAATATCTTACAAATAGATATATAGGCGTTTATTTCTCTTTCAGCGATTTGACCGCCTGCCGACCCGAAGGGTCCCCCAATAAATAGGCGTTTATTTCTCTTTCAGCGATTTGACCGCCTGCCGACCCGAAGGGTCCCCCATTTTGGTACTTTTTTAAGAAATCCATTTTTGGCCGACCGACCCTAAAATTTTTCTAAAGGCTCTTTTGGCGCAATTATCTACTAGCTTTGAAGGGGAGCTCTTTTTGACCTGTTTTTTCAAAACGTTGCCGGCGGCGCAGAACTTTTGGCCACAACAGCGTCTTTTTCTTGCTTTAGTAGAGCTCGGAAAATCAATTTGGCCGACCTAAAAAAAGGCGTCAAAGTTTTCGAAATTTTTTCGATTGAAAATCCGCCCCCCCCTCCTCAAGAAAATCCTAGATCTGCCCCTGAAAGAAAGTAAGACATTTTTTCACTTAGAACTTTGAAAATTAAAACCTTTTAGTAGGTCATTCACGTTTTTTGCGCCTTTTGAAATAATTTGTGAGGGCAGGTTTTTCTAGAGAAACAGAACTCCTTTTTTCTAGAGAAATAATATTAATTTGTATGCATAATTAGATGATTATGCATGGTTTTTTAAATAAATTGTCAAAACTCTCGTAGCAGAAACTCAAGTTTTTTGAGTCTAAAAGCTGATCTTTGAGAGATCGATGAATAGCAAAATAGTTTAAAATTAACGCCATTACAATTTACACTTCAGGTAAAATTTATCAATGCTTCATTAATATTCAGCTTGAAACACAAAAAATGTGTGTAGTTTCGCGTCATATAAAGTGCGTTATTCAGGTAATATGGTCAGCTAGTTGACAGAAAGTGAAACAAACGCCATTAAGAAAAAGAAAGTCAGGAAAAAATCAAGAAAAAACATCATGTGTTCGAAATTTTTCAAATTTTTTACAGTAACGTTTCTAAAACATCTCTTACGTTTGTTTCAAATGAAGGTGATTTTGACACCAAAAAAATAGGCAACAGATAGTTGGAGAAGTGTCAACGAGCTAAAAGAGACCCAACAAAATAGACTTTTGTAAAAAACTCTATTTTTCAAGTTTCAAAGAACACATAAAACTAACCCAGCTTTAGACAACTGAACTTGTAGGCCTTTTATGTTTTTAGCTGAAAACTGAAAAACCTTCAATCTTCTTCTCGCCTAGGTTGGAAAGCCTAATTTGCGTACATCAAAGGACCCATATGAGCGTCTTCACTTCATTCACTTATTTACACAGAGGCAGAGCTGAGCTTCGCGCCAGTTGCCATATAGAAATGAATGTCCATGATTACAATACATTGAAAAGAAAAACAGAAAATAAAAAAAACTTTAAAAATCGTCCAAAAATAGCCCAAAAATATTCTGAAAAAAACTATCTGCAACACTAGGAGCTTTCAAAAAGCCAGAAATAAACCAAACTTTCAAAAATATCTTTTCCGCGGAAACTAAGCCGGTGAAGACAAATCCAAAAGCGCCGGAATCTTTCATTTTACAAAAAAACAGGTCCCGACTGGAATCAAACTCATTGTTTGAAGCATGGAAATTACAGCAATTTGGAAGAAAGCTGAGGTTTCAAAAAAAAAATTGGGTTACGGGAGTTGAGCCGACAAAAACAAATGGACAGACAAAAATCCGAAAAAGCACAAAAACTAGTTTGCGAAAAACCAGTCCCGACTGGATTCGAGCCACAAGCTTTTGCCGTCTCAAGCAGGTGTGTTACCTTCCCGCAAGAAGGACCGGATAAGTGATTGAAACTGATGTCATAATAAAGCAAGTAGATGAGTGCGTCTCGGAGATGAGTCCTGTGAACATACCTGTTTACGGGAAAAATTAAGGTACCCAATTGCAATACCGTTGGTTATCGCATAGGTAATGATAATCACTTTTTTGATACAACTTATCCAATTTACAAAAACTAGAACAAAAAAATCGGTCGGGAATTTTGAAAATTGTAGACCTTTATTTTTTGGACCCAATGCTTCTTTAATAACAGAGAATGTATTTTGCAATCCTTTAAACAAGTTTGTTTGAAAAAGTTGGAGTGGAGCTTCCCACCAATCTCAAAAACACATTTTGTAAGCTAATGAGACACGCATTACAAGCTACCAAGCTGAAAAATTTTCGAACAAAATTCCACAACTACAAAAATATCAAAAATTTGTCTGGAAAGTACGTCCGTAAACAAAATCACTGGCTTTTAATAAACCATCAGAACCATGAGCAAAAATTAGGCCAACAAACACTGAGTAAGCTCCAATCGCGCCAAATCAAAAAATTTGTTACGAAAAAAACTTGGAATTTTTCGATCTGACAGTACCTGTTTTTTTTTTTCAAACTTGAAGTAGTTGGTTTTGGAAAAAAACTCGACTCATTATTGTCTCACTTTTGGTTCGCATAAAATGCTAAGAAACTTAATAGAAATTATATTACTTCGGCTTATTGTCCTCATATTGCGTCTTTCGACGAGCAAAAAAATTTTCAGCGTGTTTGTTTTGAGGGTGTCCTCCTCACCCCCAAAGCACTGACACGCCCACATTTCTTAATTTTCGGCTTTTTTCTTTTTCGCTGTTTTGAGTTTAATATGTTAAGGTCAATTTTACATCGTCTTTATTGCCTCATATTGTTTCATTTGACGAGCAAATAATGTTGTTTTAGTGTTTGTGTTTAGAGAGTGAGGAGCATTTTTTTATAATTCTCAAGTCTTTCTTCGGATAAAAAAGAATTCTGACAAAGTATTTTCGGTTTTGTTGCCGCGGTGTACATTATCTCCCGATGCTTATTTCACATTCTATTGTCTTGGCATATGTTTTTTTCAAACCCAGGCTTTTTCGTCATTTTCGAACTTTTTTCTTGTTTTGTATCACAAGTGATGCGAAGCTCAGCTTTGTCTGTTTAATTTAAGAATTTGAGAGCATGAGTTTTATCTGCTTCATAACGTTTGCATCCATAAGCACTGTTACAAAAATTGTATCTCTCTGTCTCTCTTTTTTTAAATATTAGGCCTGAATCAAAAAACAATGCAGTGTTCGAACTTGAATTTCAAACCCTGAAAAGTCAGGGTTTAAAATTCGCGTTTCAAAATTACTTAATCCACTAAACCGTTTTTTTTGAATTTTTATTAGCTTGCTCGGCTGATATTGCTTGAAATTGATAAGTCTGAGCAGAGCGTGTATACGAGATAAGATTCAATGGTTTTACAAAAAAAAAAGTAATCATGGAAAAAAAACTTTTTCTCCAGTTGTTTTCGATTAGTTCTCTGCGAAGTCTGTATCGGATCTAAAATTTTTTCTCAGCCAGACTCAAGCGTGCTGTATTTGCAAAAGCTGTCAAACTCAAAGCAGACAATAAGAATTCCGACGCTAAATGAGCTGATATCTCCAGCTTACCCGTACCGAGCAGAATTAATCAAAACAGATATGTCAACCTTTAAAACTGTTTATAATAGGTTGGCTGCTCTGACAGTCTCACTCACGAAATAAATTGTATTTGCGCATAATTGTCATAACTCGCTCGGGGCAGTAAAAAAGTGCCGAAGTAAAACAGTGCCGAAAAAAAGTTAGTTCAACAGTGCCGAAAATGAAATTTTTTTTCAACTGTGCAAAAAATTGAACAAAATTCAACATATTAAGTGCGGCAATCAAAAAATAAACGGCCAACGTTTACAATCTTAACAGCCACTTTAAGATTTTGAGCAAAAAGGTTACAATTTAGACATTTTGGCGACAAAATAATTGTTTAATTTGCAGTTGCAGACATTTTGGCGGCAAAATTGGAGTGATTTTCTTTCTGCGCTTCATTTCAACACGAGTGTTATTGTGCGCGTAACTCTTTGTTTTGCCGCAAATTTAGACTGTTGTGTTTTTGAAGTTGATACTTTTGTTGACAAATCGTGAGATAATTGACTTAATTGGGAAAGCTTGGCCCCAGACTGAGCGTCTTTTTGAGCCTGTCAATCAATCATCCATCACTTTATTACGTTAGTCTGCTAAAAGACTCATTTTTCACTTTTTATGCTAAAAGATTGGTCTGCTAAACGATCGGCCCCCCTAATTGAGTTATTGCATTGTGGTTTGGTAAAAGGTCGGTTTGGTAAAAGACCTAGCCCCAATAGAAATACTAAACTTGGTTAAAATCAAAAATTCAGAAAAACAATTTTCGTTAGAACTGAGTTAGTTTCAAAAACATGAGTTACTGACAAAAGTTTGCAATTTTAACTGCGCAAGTTTAATGATAAAAGATGCCGTATTGCAAAATTTTCCTGAAACCCTGGCAGTTTTTATAATTTGAGAAAAGCGAGTTATTTTAATTTTTTGAGTTGCAAATCAGCTGAATGACGTTTCTTCCTAAATTATAGCTCTATTTTTTTCTGAAATTGAGCTATTCTTATAGTTTTTTGTCGTTTTTCAGATACTTATTGTAAAAATGTATCCTGCGAAAATTACCAGAGTTTCGGGACTTCAGCTAGGACAAACGTCGGGATCTGCAAATAGTCAATCGAAGGTAAACTTAAAAACAAACTCCTCACTCATTTCTTAAAACGAAAATAAAAATTAGTGTAATTTTAAAAGCTTGAACTCTCATACTCAATAAAAAAAGAGAAAGCATATGCAAAATTGACCCATACGCCACCCAGACCATTCAACCATCACTCCTATTTTTTTTCTAAGGGAGAATTCAATTATCTGGAAAAGGAAGAAAAAAAATAGTTCAATGAAATTGGTAGGAAATGCCTTTATTTCAGTCTACCACGCAATCTCTAAGCCCAATTATTCCTCAACACAGATAGAAGCGGATATAGAAAGAAGGGTTTAAGAACATAACGCTAGTGGAGAAAATTGCCAAACAGGAATTGAAGGGCATGTTTTGGATGATCTATATAGCATCTGATAAATCAACTTCAGTAAATTTTGCTTTGCATATTATGATCATGATGGAATATGAACAACGGGTTTCGACAAAGATGAGCTTTAATCGAAACACTTTGATAACAAATGGTTAAAGTTGCCGCAAAAAAGGTGAATTATCATCGGATATATTTAGGAATTGACATTGGTTGACTTAAGAGTTGGTTCCGAAACATATCAAACTAGCATTTACGCCATTGGAGCAGAAACTTTCTGCAATTACTGCATGATTGACTCTATGTCGTGCCACCTAAGATATCCAGAAGTCAATGGCGGCTATAAGGGAGCGCCGGTTCTTTTTTACGCAAATCAGGAGTAAACTGAAAATCGAGAGAACGTGGATCCTAATAACCAGGAGAACGACTTCAATGAGTCCACCCGGAGGTCGACGACATCAACCTCAACCCAGTTCGATGATTATTTTTGGTAGCTGATTTTGCGTGGAGGGAGAAAAAAAAACTGGTGCACCCGAATATATAGTTCCTCCTGATTTTTAATGGCCGGAACAATAAAACTTAACCGCATACGATTTCCTCGCTGTTTTAGTTGGAACAAAAACCTTTTTCTAGGAATTAAGTCTAGCAGAGAATAACTAACTTCAGGGATTGCTTTGGAAGAGTCATAACTTTGAAAAAAGACACTGAGTTATAGAAACGAAAGCCAAAGAAGCCATGAAAAGCAAGAGCCAAAGAAAGCCATAGAAAGAATCCAGGGCAATCACTGAAATCAAGAAAAACATGTTACTGTATTTTAAAAACTAATCTTTATCCTAATATTTTATGTGTTTTTGCTTCTTTCTTCTCACCTATTTGAACTTGGATTCATTTATACAAACCGCTTTTTTAACGCAAATTTTGGCAAGTAGCAGAACAAGATTTAATACATGAGCTTGAAGGACATTCCTTTTAACTGCAGTCTGATATCATTTTTTTAAGGTCGTCCAATAACATGCCTGAGAAGATGCCAATCTTGGCTCAGCAAAAATGGACAGTCGCAAGATGTATGGATGATTCGATAACTTCTCAAATGGCATAAAAATGGGAACTTTTCTCAAATGGCATAAATTTCAAGTTTTCATTGTAATTTAAACGTTTTCTATCAATTTCTAATTCTAACATTTTGTCAGGAACGAAAGCATGTGAACAAAATTTGAAATTAATTGCTTCCAAACAAATTTAAGCAACAGATTCATCGGAAAAATTGACCACAAGAAGCTTAATAACCGCAAGCTTATGCTTCTTGCTTTTGATAAAAAATTCTATAAGTTTTTCAAGATAAAATGTCAATCAACATTTAAATTGACAATTTGACTAATTTTCTCACATTGTTCACAAAAAAAATAGTTCTCGATTTTTCCAAAGCAACTGTTGCATGAAAATTATGCCATTTGGGAATTTTTTCATTTTTATGCCATTTGGGAATTACGCCATTTGAGACGTAATCTATGATTCAGGTCTTATCGCAAGGTTTTCAGTATGTTAAGCCAGGCATGGAACATACATGATACATGCATGTTCATGGCCAAAATAGACATGGATCGGATCTGGAACATATGTGTTTTAAAGACGAACTAAAACAGATCAAAACATTTTATGCATTTTAAGTTAGGTACGGGTAATGAAGTCATTTTCTGAGAATTCTATTAGTTTTCAGTCAACTGCCTTTTATTTCCTTTATAATCTAATCGCAAAGTTTGCAGTTAAAAAAATTATTTCGCCTTTCTGTCATTGTTTATCTTCTCATAGTATATCACGTACTGCGAATCTCTGCTTCGCCTGTCTAGTTTGGCATTGTTCACGTTTTATTTGCCTTTTTATTGTTCCGACTTTCGATACGAAAGTAACGGATTATTAGTGCTCGGGGTGGGTTTTTTGCTTCAGACAAATTTTTGCTTCAGACAAAGCAACTTCTGAACTTAAATAATTGATTTGTTACAAGGAGCGAAATCTATCCTTTTACTTTATATAGCGTGGGATAATTTTAATAAAAAATGTCAAAAAAATTAGAAAAATTTACTTTGTTTTCATTTAATTTTTAAATATCATTACTGCTCCGTAAACCTTAAAACGCAGTCGGAACATTCAGGGCTTCGCACTGATACGAGCAGTCTTGTTTTATTTAAGATAATTGCTGAATTACCGGATAAACTGCCTTCTATATTTCTACCTAGCACTTTTCGCAAGTAAAAAGACAGATTGAAATATTTTGTCGACAAATCAAGTTAACCATAATACCCAACTATCGAAAGATTGATTTTAAATAAATTATTTTGGCTATGAATATTTAATATCAGCAATCAAAACTATCAAATTTTACAGAATCAAACTATAAATTAAGAACACAGAATCAATTAAGAGACAAAAAGTGCCCAGTATTTAAAACGAAATTTACATTATTACATATCTAGCAAACAGGTAAAGCAGGAAACTGCAGGTTACAAGGTACAAAATGGAGATGATTTAGATTTCAGAAATCCCAAATTTGATTTTTTTTCTTTTTGTCAATATCTATATAGAGGCTTCTTGCTTGTAGAAAAAAGGTTTCATAATACCCAAGGAGAGTAGTTTGGGAAATCCACGTACTTTGGGAAATCATGATTTTTTTCTTCTTAGATGAAGAGGATACGCTCGGAGAAGATTGTCAGTAGTTGTAATTACCATCTGAATTTTATTTCTTAGCCTGAACAGTGTTTTACTGTTCAGAAATTAAATAATAGTTAATTGAGTTAAAATGCGAGAATAATCAAAAGCTACATCAACCAAAGATTCGTGCTGAAAAATTAGTTAACAAATCAACAGCAATAAATAACGCTATAAAAGACACAGTGGCTATAAAAGAGTAATGCACTTTAGTCATGAGTTCACTTTTCATTCCAACAGGAGGCATATTTTGTGAGAAGATAAACATCTCTTTCGTGTCCTCGACTGAAGCTAAACTATCCTCTGAGTTCAAAGTGTTTAGTTTTATTTGGTCATTGTCTGACAACAATTGCTGATCGTTTCTTATCTCTATTCCATTATTTTGGCGGCTCTGATCGTTTTCATGCTGCTCGTTGTCCAAATTAGTCGCAACCAGAGCATCGTTTTTGTAGTTATCCAGCACACGGTCGTTTCCGTCTTCCGATAGCTGAGTAGCCACACCTGGTTGTGAGAGTTTAAACTCCGCTTTAACCTTTCGGTTTATAAATAGAGCTAGTATTGAGAACACGGCTAGTGCTATCAGTACTAGTGATACCATATAATGAGTGTAGCACTCGGTTCCCTGTCTGTAGTCTGAGTTGTACTTTTTCAGACCGAAGTAGCACGTGACCAAAGCTAGAAGCAGAAGTGACACTCCGAATAGTCTGTGGCTCCAGCTGAACACTATTCGCCACTTGGAGTCCAACTCGGGTCTAAGTAGTCCCATCAGCAGCTGCAAACAAAAAGCCCATTTTTGCACAAAGAACAGAAAAAGCCTTCAATTCTTTTTGTCCTTCTTTTTCCGAAAAAGAAGGACAATAAGAATTGAACTAGCAATAAATTGACAACAAAAAAAATTTGTCATACATTTCAAAAACTTCAGATATTTTCAAAAATATGGAACAGTTGTTGACATTAGGGCAGCCGCTTATTTTTTGCTTTTTTATTTCATTTAAATTGCCACAAGATTAGACTGGTAACAATTTATTACCCAGGTGCGAAGCTGAGCTTCGCACCACTTGCGATGCAACTTGAGCTATCAAAATGAAAGAAGAGTTAGCATCTAACAAAATCAACCAAGTGGTGAAAGAGCCGAAAGAACGTAAGCAGAAACTCTTCAAGTCGAAATTTTTTTATTCGAAAATAACTTAAAATTTCCACGTTCCTCTTCCCCTCATAACACACAGGCGCACAAAAATTTTTTCGAGCATCAAACGACGCAAAAAGAGGTTACTAAGCCGATATGAACATGCCGAAACCTATAAAGCAGAAAAAATAAATGAAAAAGTGAAATTTCAACAACTGAGAGGTAAAACTACTACCAACTTCAAAATTGGGACATGGAAGCGTAAAAACTATGTTTCGTCTGAAACAACCCAAAATTAGGTAACCAATCCGATAAAATGCTCGTAGCAAAAAAAACGATTCCAATATGCGGCAACTAAGCCTACAAAAGATAAGCAGATAAATATATTAGACCGACAATTATATTTGAACACAGAGGCGAAGCTACGCTTCGCAAACACTAGCAAGAACGCGACAAAAACCACCTCTATAAAGCGCCATTATAAAAAATAGAAATAAGACTCGAATTATTAAAAACTCGGCTAGGTCTCGTATTGGATCTGCGACCTAGTGAATTTGAGTCTGACGCACAAACCACTCAGCCACAGACGCTTAAATAATCAAAAACACTAGCCTCAAATAACTCAGAGAAATTTCCAATGCTACAGATCGTGCTTATCGCAAAAAGGCCACCAAATAAAAAAAACTTTGCCACCAAATAATGAGCACTTTTATTTGCGAGCTAGGTTACACAAAAAGAAGGCTCGTATTAATACACTAGCGCTCGCAGTGTAAGAAGAATACTTCTCGTTTGAAAAAAAAAGAGGTCCTGCTCAGATTCAAACCCATTACGTTGAGCGTCCTAGGCGCAATTGTTATCTCCAGGCTAAATGGACAGAGAACGCAAAGAAATGTGAATAAATTATGAAACAAGCTACCACTAGAGATGAGACCAGAAATGCAGGTGAGCCCTGTGAACAAAATTATTTACGGGGAAAAAATCAAGTACACGATTGCAATACCCTTGTTTATCGCAAAAGCAATGATCATAATTGCTATTTTTTGAGCTTTTCTAGAACATAGACTAACAAATTTTACGGAAAAAAAATTGTACGCCAGTTTTTGCGTCGGATTATTTTAAGACGAAAATGGATTTAAGACTTTCAAAAAGCGCATTCTTAAAAAACGTTTGAGAAAAGCGTTTGAAAACATCTTGAAAAAAGTGTCCAAAAAGATATCATCACAAAAAACATGAACTTAATAGTAGAATCTCCTGATAAATTGATCGGACAAGGCGTTAAAAATAATAGTCTTTTATGATGACCGGTGGTCATTGCTCCGTAACTGATCCTATTTCTGTTTTGCATTACAACGTTTTTTTGCATTACTAAATAGCGTAGAATGACTAGCGCGGATAGACCAATTCTTAAAGTGCTCCAAATGCTTTCACGATTACCCAACTCTAAAAACAACACTTTCTCTAAAACTATACGATTCATTTACCTACCGTCTTCATACATACCTTGATCTCAGCAAATCAACCTTATCCTCATTAACATACGATTAATTAAATTTTACATGGTTTTCTAGATGATTGAGGATCCAAAGAAAATTTGAGATTACCACTTTTTATATGAATTAACCCATTTTGAGAGACAGATGAAGCGGCGCTTCGCCTCACTTGCGATACAACACAAACATTTAAAAAAGCTTAAAAAATCAGTTCTACCAAAATGTTTGTACGCCTCTCGATAAAGTTCATTAGGCAAACACGCAACGCAAAACATTCGAATGTTAAACATTTGTAATGAAAAATGTACTTTAAAAAGCAATTTAATTTTGAAAATTGAACAAGCAACAAAATTATTTGGACTCCAAATTATTCGGACTCAAATTGACATTGTAAACCTGCCTGCTTTGCAAAGCCATGCGATGAAACATTTTGTAAAACAAATATACACGAATAATTACAAATATACACATACCGAACAATTTTATGTCAATTTTCAAGGACTAAAACGAACAAAATTAAACAAACAACACACTTGACCTGAAATAAAACTCAAAACTTTTATGAAAACACTACACTTTTGAAAACGCTTAACTGCAGAAACATCAAAACAATCCAAAATCCTGAATATTATTACTTTTCTTTGAACACAAAATTGTTTAAAAAATTCAAACCTAACAAAGATGTGAAAAACAAGAGACACTGTCTAAGAACAATCAAATGAGTTTCGAACACTCTGAACTTGGAAACAAACGCCAATTTCAATTCAAACAAAAAAAAAATCCGATCAGACAAACTCAAGTTTACAGAAAGAGAAAGCTGAAAAAAAGAAATGCGGGTAATTTAACTATTTCAAAAAAAAAGATTGAGTCCGAAAACGAAACAAAATCATCTGGACGTGAAAAAATTTTAAAAAAGTTTTTGCTAAATATTGACAACAAAAAAACCAAAAAAAAAACAAAAGCGTTTTTTCGTTACTGTTTTAACACATGTTAAGCTAAAGGAATACAACAAGGGCATCAGAAAATTTAGCAAACAGCAACTCCAGTTAACACATTAAAACAGCAAATACGTCTAGCAATTTGGAACAGAAGTACCAAAACTTTTGAGTTGATTTATCTCAGATTTGACAGAAGTTCAGGCTTGCTTAGTCCTCGTTTTTCGTGCTTAAAAAAGTTTTTCACTATTTTAAAAGAGCCTAGGAGGTCGATTCAATTTATTTCAAAGACTCATAAAGCAACTCAATATCCAATATAATATGAAAGATAGTTAATCGCAAAAGCAATGATCATAATTGCCATTTTTTGAGCTTTTCTAGAACATAGACTAACAAATTTTACGGAAAAAAAATTGTACGCCAGTTTTTGCGTCGGATTATTTTAAGACGAAAATGGATTTAAGACTTTCAAAAAGCGCATTCTTAAAAAACGTTTGAGAAAAGCGTTTGAAAACATCTTGAAAAAAGTGTCCAAAAAGATATCATCACAAAAAACATGAACTTAATAGTAGAATCTCCTGATAAATTGATCGGACAAGGCGTTAAAAATAATAGTCTTTTATGATGACCGGTGGTCATTGCTCCGTAACTGATCCTATTTCTGTTTTGCATTACAACGTTTTTTTGCATTACTAAATAGCGTAGAATGACTAGCGCGGATAGACCAATTCTTAAAGTGCTCCAAATGCTTTCACGATTACCCAACTCTAAAAACAACACTTTCTCTAAAACTATACGATTCATTTACCTACCGTCTTCATACATACCTTGATCTCAGCAAATCAACCTTATCCTCATTAACATACGATTAATTAAATTTTACATGGTTTTCTAGATGATTGAGGATCCAAAGAAAATTTGAGATTACCACTTTTTATTTGAACTAACCCATTTTGAGAAACAGATGAAGCGGCGCTTCGCCTCACTTGCGATACAACACAAACATTTAAAAAAGCTTAAAAAATCAGTTCTACCAAAATGTTTGTACGCCTCTCGATAAAGTTCATTAGGCAAACACGCAACGCAAAACATTCGAATGTTAAACATTTGTAATGAAAAATGTACTTTAAAAAGCAATTTAATTTTGAAAATTGAACAAGCAACAAAATTATTTGGACTCCAAATTATTCGGACTCAAATTGACATTGTAAACCTGCCTGCTTTGCAAAGCCATGCGATGAAACATTTTGTAAAACAAATATACACGAATAATTACAAATATACACATACCGAACAATTTTATGTCAATTTTCAAGGACTAAAACGAACAAAATTAAACAAACAACACACTTGACCTGAAATAAAACTCAAAACTTTTATGAAAACACTACACTTTTGAAAACGCTTAACTGCAGAAACATCAAAACAATCCAAAATCCTGAATATTATTACTTTTCTTTGAACACAAAATTGTTTAAAAAATTCAAACCTAACAAAGATGTGAAAAACAAGAGACACTGTCTAAGAACAATCAAATGAGTTTCGAACACTCTGAACTTGGAAACAAACGCCAATTTCAATTCAAACAAAAAAGAAAATCCGATCAGACAAACTCAAGTTTACAGAAAGAGAAAGCTGAAAAAAAGAAATGCGGGTAATTTAACTATTTCAAAAAAAAAGATTGAGTCCGAAAACGAAACAAAATCATCTGGACGTGAAAAAATTTTAAAAAAGTTTTTGCTAAATATTGACAACAAAAAAACCAAAAAAAAAACAAAAGCGTTTTTTCGTTACTGTTTTAACACATGTTAAACTAAAGGAATACAACAAGGGCATCAGAAAATTTAGCAAACAGCAACTCCAGTTAACACATTAAAACAGCAAATACGTCTAGCAATTTGGAACAGAAGTACCAAAACTTTTGAGTTGATTTATCTCAGATTTGACAGAAGTTCAGGCTTGCTTAGTCCTCGTTTTTCGTGCTTAAAAAAGTTTTTCACTATTTTAAAAGAGCCTAGGAGGTCGATTCAATTTATTTCAAAGACTCATAAAGCAACTCAATATCCAATATAATATGAAAGATAGTTAATCGAAAAAAAAAACATTCTGAAAATAAACCGACCTCTCCCGGCGCCGAAACTCTACCGAAAATTTTAGTCTCAGAAAAAATATGAATTAAATTTTTTTAGTGTTTATAAGATAACAATAAGATAAAATTTTAAGAAGAAAATTAGCAGGTAAAAAATCATGTTGCGCATTCATAGCCCTGAAAAAAATTAATACGAAAAAAGAACATGAAAATTTTTTAAAGATTATTTGTTAGAAAAGCTTTTTATTATCTTTGTTAATCATTTTTGAGTACTAATCCGCGCACCAAAAACGATCTTATTTGAAAACACAAGAAAAATAACCAGTTTTCACAAACAAACTCATCTTTCTCGCTTTACTCGCGCAAAACTACTAATGAGCAAAATTTGTTACGATTTTTCTTAATTTTTAATTTAGTGCAAATCATGACAGAAACAATTGCTCAGCCAGGATGGCAAATTTTTCGGCACAGAAAAAAGGGACCTCCGAGTTGAATTAAATTAGAAAAACCAAAAAAAAATCCTTTTTTAACTAAAACTATAGCACAGATGCGAAGTTGCGCTTCGCAAACACTAAGATTTAAAAAAAGCAACTCTATAAACCGAAATGAGAAAAAGTACAAATAAGCTTCTGATAGGTAAAATTTTTACAATGTGCCGGATTCGAAACTGAGATCTTGATACTTACGTATGGGTGATACTTCCGCCTCAGCTACAGATACACGACGATCGACGGAAACTAGCCACAAACAAAGCATAAAACAGATGCTATGAAATTTCCAATTGGAAAAAGGTAGTCATACTAGTACACTACGTTCGCAAGTTTACAAAATACAATACTAACTTTGAACACAGGCGAAATTTCGCTTCGCAAAGACTAGCGATAACATGACAAAAAGCAGCTCTATAAAGTGAAATAAAAAAATATAAATAACCCTCGAATTAGTTTGCGCTTAGCAAACACAAGCTAGGAAAATGCATATAATAGCTCTGGACAGACGAAACAAGGAAAAGATAAAATATACACCTTGAGAAAAAAACTAGTGAGACTAGGAGCATTACGTTCTCACATCTGCTCCACTGTCGCTTGTAAAGTTACAAATACTAGCCATCGAAAAAGCAGCTACAGTTTCTATCTAATTGCTAATGTTACCCAGCAAAAACTCGACCGAAAAAAATAACAGTTTCAATGTTCCGGATTTGAGACTCCGAGCTGATTAGGAGTATCACGTTCTTGCATCTTTCTTGTATGTAAACTAGTGGCCCAGCTAATACTGGATTCAACTGTTTTAACATTTTTAAAGATATATTGAACAGATACAGAAATGCATTTTCAAAACTTTTTTGGTTGAACCCTTGACATTAGCTAGTAGTTTTCGAGAGTAGTGCTGACAATTCTAATAAAAACGAAAAAAAAATCTTAATTCCATATCGTTATTTCAGCAGAAAAATAGGGCAAAAAAGATTGCACAGGAAAAATATAAAAATTATGTTAATTCGATTGAACTATCAACCTCAGAGTCAGCAGGTTAAGCTTTGAAAAAAACTAATAAGTTACCAAAAACGGGCATAAATTCAAAAAGAGGACATTTTTTAGGGCCATATATTTTTCAAAACGCAGGGCAGAGCCGCGTGTGCAGGGAAAATAGCCGCTTTCACTGATTGTCTTTCTTTCGATTAAACGCTTCGTCTCCGATTTGGTAGGGTAGTTTTTTTGAGAAAACTCAAAAATATTTAAAATTAACAAAATGTCAAAAAAATTGGCTTGCTTGAGAACCTAATTTTTTTCTACCAAACTTAAGGAACAGCCGCTTGAGAAGGAGAGATCGCCATGATTTAGTCTTTCGATTGAAACCTTTATCTCAGATTTGTGCATATAAAATTTTGAGAAAATAAAAAAACATTCAAAGCAAATAGGTCAAAAACCCCCATACTAAAATTTTCAAAGGCCGTAGAACTTGGGGTGAAATGAAAAAGTAATAGCGAAATATGCAAGCTCAAAGAAGAGCAGCCGGTTTTTTTTGGTACCATTTTTTTAAAACAGGACAGTAGTTTCTGAGAAAATATAAAATTTCAGCGAAAAGTGCAAAATTTTCCCGAAGAGTCGCAAAAAACCGACAATCACAACGTTCAAACAGGTCCTAAAATAAAGCAGCAAAAAATATAGCCAAAAAGAAGCAGCATATGCTTTTAAATTGCTGATGTTTAAATAGGCTTCAATATGACTAAATTGAAATATACCAAAATTGCCACCAAATGAGCACTTTTACTTGCAAATTAGGTTAGAAAAAAATTATTCGCAATAAAACACTACGCTTCGCATGTCTAATGAGTCTCTCGCACTAACCACTCAGCCATGGACGCTTAATTAATCAAAAACACTAGCCTCAAATAACTCAAGAACAGATGCTATGAAATTTCCAATGCAACAGATCGTGATTATCGCAAAAGTGCCACCAAATTTTCTTCTCACCTGCATCATAAGGCTGAACATGACAACCACGCCTAGTGATGTGTGCGTGTTCACATCAAACTTGAAGCTCTTGTGGAAGAAAGCCACGAATATCGACAAGATACAGATGAAAAACAGCGCCCAGTTTAACATCATGTGAAGCACAAACCATTTCTGTTTCCGGACAATAAACTTATTCTGAAAGTAGGGTCGGTAAAATGCCACTGTGAAGTAAGAAATTGGCGCCAGCACACACCACGCAACTATCTGCAGTAGGGCGTGAAATGTTATCACTTTTGTTCCAAATAGATTCGTTGAGTTTTTCGTTTGGATCCATCGCACACCTGGGCCATTGTCTGTTAGGTTGACTTTAGAACTGGACACAAAACGAAAATCTTGCGTCTGAATATTCCCTGAAACAGTCGATTTTTAATGAAAATTTTCAACGCGTGTTTCTTTATTCATCATCATCAGGAGCTGAAGTTAGAACTTTCTTAAATCATTCAGACAGGACTAAAATACAGCCTGCTCGCCTCTTAATTCGAACTCTTCCTCTGATAATCACAACCTGTGCTTGAGAAATTACTGGTTCTTTAAAAAACAAATTTCAGATAGCTATAGAGAGCACACAACTAATCCGCTAAAAATATAACCTGCAAAGCTATCGACAACCAGACACAACGGAACACTACCTACTGAAGTGCAATAAACGGGACCAGGCCAAAGATCGGCACTTGGGAACCCAACTATGACGTTAATGCAGACGAACCCTAACAATATCATCTTATTCGCAACAAGCACTGGACACTTCAAGTCGCCCGATTATCAAGATGGCTCCTGAACACACACACGCACTTACACACACACACAATCTGGGATATATAAATTACCTTTGTCATCGACTGAGCCAGCAGCTAAAAAGAGAAAATAGAGATTTTCAGATAGATCAAACTGCTTCTCTCCTTCACTCGCGTTGAATTGCAGAGGGCGACTGAATGAGCAGGATATTGTCGCTTTAGATTCATCAGATGTGGTCGTTATATTGAATAGCGAAGACTGCGACGTAATCTCAGGGACATCTGTTGCAGCTGAGCTCTGATGATTAGCTCTGAGATTGTTGGACAATTGCACTGCCACCTATTCAACGATTTGCTTCACTTGCAAGTTCTTTATTTTCAGGAAAACAGCGAAGACAGGATATTTTACTTTAAGTCCCTTTTGAAAACGAAAGAATAGAAAATCTTCTTCCAATATGTTCATTTTCTCGATTATCCAAAAATACGCCCTTTTACCAGGATGCAAAAGCTAATTCTTCATAATCTCAGGGGCAAAAACCAAATATGGTTTCTAAATATTATCGTATGAATAGTGCTGACAAAAAATTGAAAAAATCCTTAAGAAATTTCAAATTTTAACTTCAAAAAACTACGCGACCCCTCACGGAAAAATCAAGCAAATTGAAGCACTAAGTTAAGTCACTATTTAAGAATTGCACCGAAAATAAGCACAGAAATTTACCTTTTCATCGCTGGCAAGGCAGCTCACAACGTCATCATCACCCATATTTTGGTCATCGCTTAAAGCGATAGCTAGGTAGGACAACGTATCTGCATGTCCACTTGACAACGTCAGGTTGAAGAACACTGAATCTTGATTTGTACGCTCAAACGCGCAATAAAAAGAGTCTCTGACTCTCCATTTGGTGATTCCAGCTACGGAGATAATAAAACTTGCAGCTATAAATACCACAAGATCATTTTTCATTCTATGAATACTGAAAAAGTTCAGACATTGAAGAAATTACGAAAATGATCTAATCATACCAGATTTGTATAGTTCTTAAAAAAAGGAGCAGCCGGCGCCGATTGGGGTAAAGCAAGTGCCTCTCAACATAAATCCTACTTGAGCCACGACTGGAGGTGTCCCAGTGTCATATGCCTCCTCAAGGTGGGACCGGCTACAGCGAAATTGAAGACACCCCCTTAACTCTCCACGGTTGGTCCTGCAGTGGGCAGTACCGGGGACAATAAAAAGTTCACAAAAAGGACCAGGAATACTAAAGCACAACGCGTTCAGAAAAAGCAAGTTTCAAAGAATTCTTTTCAGTTATTTATGTCAACTTTTCAAGACCTTCAAATATGATATGAATTTATCTAACCTATAAACGAAATGTTAATTACAACAAAAAACTATTTCAAGACGATCTCAAGTTTGCCAGCCTCCTCTCAAGCTGGTCACTCTCCTCTGCTGACATACTTGTAGCTTGCAGCGTATTCTTTGAAGGGTCATTCATCAGCCCAGATACTTCAAGCCCATTTTCAGCAGCAACTTGACTTATTAGATCATTGACTTGATTCGCAGGTGTCAAGCTGGTTGTAGCATTCGTCATAGAACTGTCCATCGCACTGGTCATTACATCTAAATCGCCTGTCTGCTTTTCAAACTCATCCATAACTCGCTGGACCTTTTCAAGATCCATAGATCGTAAAGCTTGATCTAGGCCTTTCACAACACCACCAAGGCTTTTCGTCATGGATTGCATGGTGGAAGCAGTCTTCACTCGGGCCGAAACCGCGTCAAGTCTGGAGGCCATTCGAAGATAATTCAACTGTTCATTCTTTTTTCGAATGGCAGTTTCTGCATGCACTTGTGCAACTTCTGTATTTTGCTCTTCGAGTGCTTTTTTAACTTTCACTCTGTACGCTTTCATTTCTTTCTCACATTTATTAGCAGCCCGCTCCATTGACTTCGATCCCATTTTCAGATTGATCATCAAATCGTCCATTTTTCGACCACCGCCACCAAACATTTTGAATTCTAAAACAAGTAGAAAATAAAGCAATGGTGGATTTCACAGCGAATAAAAAGACCATTAAGTCACATTATTCTTGTAAAAATTAGTGGTAAAGATTGTCTTCACTTACTAATGTTTGAAAAAATAGGCACACAGTCGAAGCGCAGCTTCGCACCACTTGCGATTCACAAGAAACTTTCTTCGACTTAAGTCTTTTATTTGTGTTGTATCGCAAGTCGAAACAAATTATGAAAAAAATTCTGATATTGAAAAAAATAGTTGAATCAAAATTTTCGTATAGCTCGATTTAAAACAACTAGGGGCAATAGTTAAAACTGGAGGTACGTGAATGATTTAGTTAAATTTATAGTAAAAAAAAAGTAGTAGAAAAATCAGTCATAAAAATACTGATGCTTTACGAAATATGTAATTCAAAAAAATTGAACTTCAGCTCAATGTCTTGTTGTTTCTGAGGTTTATACCTCTGAGAAATTGCCTAGATACCAATATAATATCTAATTTTGCGATTAGGAGTACCTGAAAATAGCGAAAAGTCGGACCAAGCGGTTCACAGCTTCGAACTTAAGTGTGACATTTGACCAGAATGTACGGAAATGCAATTTCGTATTCGAAATTTTATCGACCAGAAAAGAACATCTGACCTGGAAGATTAATGGTTTTAACAGATTAGCGACGTTATTGGAACGATAAGACAAACCGGGAGGTGTCAGTTTTGACTGACATGTTAAGTTTTAATATTTCGATTTGGACGTGAACGACACGTAATTTTTTTATATTTCGCACACACTGACAACGGCGAAACAGAACAACAAGAGTTGCAGTGAAAACAATTACGAGAAAGTAACGACCGATTGAAGTTATAACACGAATGTAACATTCGTCTACTGCAGTCACACATGAGGCTTAAGAAAAATAGGCCCTATAACCACTGGCTCAAGGGTCAGGGACGCTATCTCTTGTGTTTTCCCACCTCAAGAACGGTCGGAGCCAGTTCGGTTCGCTTATGACATGAGACTACGACCCGTTACAGCTTAAAGGCTACTACTAAAATATCCCCCCACTCTAGAATTAGAAACGTCCCCATACTTAGGTCTCTAGATACCCAAAATACATGAACGCCGTTAAAAACCGGGTTGGAACAATCCGTTAGGTTACTTTTTATTAGACAGTGTAACTTTGATCCATTTCAGATGGATCAACCTAAAACTCGCCTTATCTCAACATAACAATCATAAAACACATTCTAGAAATTAAATTTGTACTCACATAGCAGCACGCTCAAGAATTGGGAAAATAATCCAGTCAGTAACTAACTCAAGAAATAAATAACTAAGAGAAGTTTAATGTTTTATAGTTTGGACAGCAAGGATAAGTTCATGCTCTAGAATTTGAGTTCTCTTGGACCGTTGGGACACTCTAGTTGTCCGCCTTTCCGCTGAAGGTTCACTCTGGTCCAACTTTAGTAATCGCTCTCTCGGGGATACTCTGTCTTCTATTTCAAGTAGGACAGCTCTACTCTCGATTGTATATAGACGGAAATTGCGAATAGCAATTTCCCACTCGTTTTTACTTTCTAACTTTCCCGCAATTGCTCTAAAATTGTTCTGATTTCTTTTTCTGATTTTCAGTTGTCGCGAGAAAATCGTGCATGACATGTTCCATTCGAATTTTTGAAAAATAAAATTTCTCTCCAAAATCAAGTATTTTCTGCTCTTCTCAAGGTCAAACTTCCAAATATGACCGACTGGCACATACTCCCCGGACTCGAGATCGATGTCCTCATCGCGCGCTGTCTTCTGCCAGTGAGTCCCAGAAAAACCGAGTGTTGCTCAAGATACAGTGCCAGTGGTCATTTACAGAAGTTTGCAGCAGATTTAAGATTATCTACACCCCAAAATTCACGACCATTTAAAATTTTCACACTATTGCTAAACAGCAATCAAAATCTGCATTTACCTGCACCTTTGAATTTTTCGCTTTTCAAGCCAATCATTTTAAAAATTCTTTTGTCCTATTCAATCAGGAAATTGTCATGCAGCATTTCGATTTATATAATAGATATAGTATATTAGTAACAATATTTACTTTGTTAAAATTTCTTTTTCGTGAATCCAAGTTTCACTCGGATTCACACTCAAGCCCCCCTTCCCTCTCAAGACTCAAGATCCATCCGATTTGCCCATTCACCTCGTGCTCTTCGCCTTGGATGTACTGCATCCTGAAGTGCTAGATGCGGCAAACTGTCTCAACAGTTCCTCTTCATCATCGGAACTAATCACAATCTCCTCCCAAGCCTTCAGTTGTTCATAAGATCGCATCCATTCTCTCTGCTCCTGCAATCTCTTTGCCTGGTTGGGTCGTGCCTTCACCCTAGCTTCTCGGTTCAAGCAGAAGGAGTTGTGCAGGCTCAAGCTCACGTTCTTCGCCAGGTCTTCCTCTAGTATCGACTCCCTCGCTTTGGTATTGTCTCTAGACATCTTACCCACTCTCTTCCATCCCGTCGTGATCGCATTACGATGGGTTAGCAGGGGTCCCTTGAAAGCTTCCGGCCCAATCTCGGCCTGGAACTGTCGATACTCCTTTTGATGTTTTCTCATGTGATCTTTCGTTGCCCTGTACAACCAAGACGTCAGTGTCGCCCGAAACCATGGAAAGTACCTCAAGCGACTCCATACGTGCCTGACTTCCGTTGGTATGGCGAATACTTTGCACGCAGTCTCAAACAACTCAAGTCTCCTGCTGTAGTCTATCGCGTATATTGACTCAGCCGTTGGTGTCGTCGCCTCCCGATACTTCGTTATATTCTCTTCTATCCATCTCAGAGCTAACATCGTGCTCACTACTAAGAGCGTCACCTTCTGCCGGTGATCCGGCAGTCCGATCGACCGAATCTCTTCCACATCCCACACCAGGCAAAGGTTCTTGTGATCTGGATACCACACCGTTTGTGCCAAACAGTGGCATGGGCATTCCCCATGAGAGATCTCAATGCTCCTGAGATTACGCTCCCCTGAGGCTTCCAAGAGAGGCTCAAGCTCCATCATTTTCTCGTGCATCGTGTCATTGTCTTCCAGGTTTGGAGTACTTCCCACAGGTTTCCCGATCACGTTTTGTCTCTCGTGATCGCTTGTGTTTTCCCTTTCCAACTTCAGAAGATCTTCTCCCCAGATTTCGCTCAAGTCATCTCTCAATTCTTTTGGTACTGTCCCTTTGATTTTTCTCAACAACTTGTGCGAGTGATGCGATATCCGAGCCAACCTCACGCACTTGGGCACTGAGAAGGCCTTGTCCACCAGTATTCTCTGGCTGGACACTTCCACCATCGCCATGTGTAGCGGGTAGTGACTTCCGCACAAGTTGGCCATCATTGACCCTATCAGCGACTTCGCGTTCAATGGCAAGCCATAAGCTTCGCTCAAGGGAAATCCCATTTCCGCCTCAAGACCAACCTTCCAGCTCCGGATGTGTTTTTGAGTCACCTGCAACACCCCGGGCCATGATTCTACGCTCAACGCCGTCACTAAATGATGCTCAGACTCCAGTCTCTCCAGTGCCTGCAGATCACACATTCTCGAGAAGAATCCGAGAGCTGTCGCTATATTCACCGTGGTTCTCGCGTAACATTCCGCTATTATTTGCACTTCACTTTTCTCCCTTTCTGTGATGTCTTCGAACCAAGTGACCAGATCTTCTTTTTGAAACGACAGTATTCTGACGCATGACCGTCCATCGCAGATGTGCTCTCCGTTCCCACACGTCGAATCCAGACAGCTACCCGGCTCCAATTTCTTTGTTGACCCGGGGTCGCTCGTCCTTTCGCTTGGTTCTTGCATCTGGGGTGTGATTAGCTTATGTAGCACACTCAACTTCGCCAGATCTTCATCTTCCGTTGGGGCTAACCTCACTCGCTCGGTGGTTTCCTCGATTAGACTCGCATGGGGATGTGGACACCAGGAGGGTCTTAGTAGCTTCCATATCACTCCCAAGTTCGTGGTTAACAAGCCATTTCCACCGCCCATGTTCACTTCAACTCTCTTGTTTGAGCGCGGTATGCTTATCACCTCTGGTGTTTTCTCAAGAATCAGGCCCAGGCTCGGCCCCTCTTTCTCCACTGCGTCTATCTCCATTATCCTTTCTGTCCAAAACTTCAGTAGCTCCGCTACTTCATGGTTTCTGTGGGCTCCTCCAGCTTCCGAGTCTAAGAAGGGATTGTAGGCTATTCCCATCACTCCAGACACATATTGGTATTCCCCCCTTCTCACTGAGTCTCGAGTATTGTTCTGACGAGGCCAGGTTACGGTGAACATCATGTTCTTCCTCGAACTTCTTATTAGAGAACCTCCGTACCTCGTCCAGCTTTCGATGGTTCTCCAAGGATACTCTGGAGCTATCTTCTTTCTCTATTCCTGTACTCTGATATACGTTCAAGATGATCGTTGAGACTCTTCTCTCCATGGTTTTACTTCCACTTGCTCTCTGGTGGCATGCCAGGATGGTGCTATCAGACATCATAGACATTGTCCATCTCAAGAAACATGTGGCATCTTTTCTTCTAGCCAGGCTCAAGCCTGAATTGTCCCTGGCCACGTGTTGCATCAGTGCCTGATACACCTCTAGCTTCTTGCTTCCCAACTTCAGCCTGTCATACGAGGTCAATGTCTCCAACTCTATTCCCACCAGACTCCAGGTGAACATTAATTGTCCCGCAGTTCTAACGAAGGGATTCGCCATTAGTGGCGGTGCTGATGAGGATGTTCTCATCGCCTCTTCAAAATGATCCTTCAACAAACTCTGCCAGGACCTCTTCAGATGACTTGCCATCTCTATCTTATTAACCTCGGCTTTCTGCTGGGTGGCCCAATTGCGTCGCCTGCGAGCTATTCCACTATCCAACTTCTTCAAGCAGTCCTCCATTTCCTTCAATGTTTCGAGGGCCACCCACCACGTCCGGGAAGTGTTCCTCGTCTTGTTCCTCTCCAATGGATCACTCGTCACTTGT